TTGGACATGATGGAATCAATAAGTACTGTGGCTCACACCAGATGTTTGTGCACAGTAATATCCACTGGAATCAATGCTCCTTGCAGGATACAACCATTTATAATTTCACGCCAATGTTGCAATGATCCACTGCGAGGTTAAGAATAAAGGATCTCAGAAGCTGTAAATATACCGAAGTGGATCAGACCACCTTTTAGTCTAACTAGTAGCTAGCCTTCCTTGAAAACTATTACCCTTATTTTTTTTGCAATTTACTGACTTCAAATTACAGTTTCCAAAACCCTCATATCTTATGGTTCAGCTTCTCTTCTAAGAAATCTTCAGTTGAAGGTGTTGTGTTGAACAAGACATAAACCTGAAATAATTCTGAAGACTGGAAAACAAAACTTAGATTCAAAATAGTCGGTTCCTACACAGCCAGGAACGAAAGCACATAATTTTTCTCATGGGGATGTATTTTTCAAACACTTTGCTTAGCCTCTTGTTCAATCCACTCTGCAGATAATGAAACCGAAAACAATCATTTTAGTCGTCGCTCAGCACAGGACCGTGACGCTTTCTGTGAGTCAACAAGCCCAGTCCTCTGCTGTAGAACCTGCCATCCCAGAGTCTGGCTCGTGTAACATGCGCTGAAACTCTGGTTAACTATCACTTCAGGTGGAACACGGCTATGTATTCGAGTCTTTAGGAACAGATAATCTATCGATTTTGTCATAGCTTACCTTCACTTTTAAGTCAGAAGTGCTCAGGATCTACCAACGACTCCTAACTGGCCTCTTCACCTTCTCTTGGCTTCTGATGAGATTTTTATTCTCTTCATGTGCAGTAGGTGCCTTCCAAAATGTGTTCTTTCTCTTTAGACAAGTATTGTGGGTTTGTCCCAGTGATGACAGTGTAGGTGTTCACCTGTATTTGTAACCACTGCAAACTTTAATTCCAGTCTGAGTTTCCGTAGTGTTGTGAGTACGGCCAGTTCTGAGTGTGGGGAGCTAAACTTTATTTGTGCACAGGGAGAGAACACTTCAGTTCTGACAACTACGTGCTGTCAAATGTGTCAGCATTGTAGTACTGTATTCTCAGTATGATATGAAGAAGAAGAAGAGCAGGAGATAAGTTCATCCAAAAGTTATTTATGGATCAAGAGAAGTGCATGCCCATATGTATATAAATATGCATACAGGTGTTTATTCAATGCTTGGGGAGTTAACGAGTTCCCTTAGCAAACTCCCACATAGTTTGTTCCATGAAGAGATGCTTGTCTGCAGGGAGTTTAGAGGCCACTGGAAAGCTACGGTTGATAAAATCATAGAGCAGTTAAGTTGGGAGAGACCTCCAAGATCATCTAGTTCAAAACCTTCCCCAAAGTCAGACTGACTTCAGAATGAAATGCCCAGATGAGTTGTGTAACCATGTACAACAGCGGCTTCAAACCTTACCTCCGGCAGAACATTTCGTTTCATGTGGCAAAACCTACCAGCAGATTAGACTGAGCCCCTTGCAAAACACAGAATAAAAGACATTTGGGACTAGATTCAATTTTGGTCATTTTGACTGACAGAGCTTCAATCCTTTCCTTCTCTATCCCTCCACAAAAAGTGCTGCAGAAGGGGAAGGACTCCCTAATTTCAAGTTCCACAGTGCAGTCAAAAGCCATGAAATGGAGACTGATGTTAGGAGAAAGACAGATTTTTGAGGCTAAGGTTTTGAAGATTCACCAAGTCGAATCTGCAGTGTCCCAGCGCTCACAAAGCCAGTAGTGTCTCCTGAATGACGAGGGAGTATGCCCATCTTTGAGAGATGTAACCAAGAACGTCTCAGAAACTCATCTGATTTAATGCTTGCTGCCATTCCCTGGGGATTAAAGGACTGTGAGAGCAAAAAAGGGATCTCTCCTTTTTTCCATCTTTCTTACTCCTTTTTTGGTCCATTAAAGATTGGGCACATAAAAAATAAGATTAAAAAAGGATTTACACCTGATAAAGCCTGTTACTCCCAAATAGTTTGGTTCCACAAGATACTGACAAGCACAAGAAGCAAAACTGTCTCGATTTGTACTGCCTGGGTGATAGAGCTGGCAAAAGCAGGTATTACCTACTACATTTCCCATCCTTTGTAACTGTTTGCTCTTCTTCTCTATGCTTTTGGCAAAGTAAATAGAATTTGATTTATCTCCTCAGAATTGACATGTGCATTTGAGCTGAAACAAGTGCTGCCAAAGGGTGGAACTGATCCCTATTACGCACACTCACCATGAGGGAAAATGCAGAGATGATGTGACACCTCACAAACATCCCCCCTAGTGACTGGTCTGCGCAGAGCCTTGGAAGGAAGGGCTGGCTGGAAGCTCTCCATGTGAAGTATTTTCTAGCAGAGAAGTTGTGGCTTGGTTTTCAGTAAGGAATGAAGGTCATGAAAATTCTCCCTGGGAATTATCAACATTTTCCTTTTTACATGTGGTTGGTTGATAATCGGGGAAGATGGGCTCCTAGGATTTATCATAATTTATAATGTAGGCCAGCTTAGAGAATAAATTCAGAATGGAACCCTTGAGTCAGGCTATTTAGTTACTCACAGGGGAAAAACATGTCATTTTCTTGCACAGCACATTAGGAAGTGCCTGCTTTCCATTTTAATTCAGGAGAAAATCAAAAGCTGCAATCTTGAAAGTTTCCAGAAATACTTGGGCTTATTTCTCAACCCTCACTACTAAATGAGTTTCCTTCCAGGACCTTTGGGACTTAATTTATCTTGGGACATTAACCTAGTCTCTGTCTTGTGGTGGCAGTCTGCCCGGAAGACTTATCCTCCTCCTAAGGAGGGCTAATTACTTCAGACTGAATGTCTCTCCAGAGCAGATATTCTGCTTGCAAGGCTGGGAACTTCTGTCTTGTTCACTTAGATTTGATCGATTCTAAATCTCCAGAATTCAGGAGTTGATGTTTTTCTCACTTGTAGCACCTAGTCTTTTTTCTGTCCAGTCCTGGTCCAAGAGTAAAGTGCCCTCAAATGAGAATTCATTGCTTTCCAAGGGCCATGTTACTTTTTTTCTCTTAATCAAAGCTAACAAGATAAAAAATGTGTAATAAATGCCCATTTGGTTTTTACCTTTTTACAGCTCCAGTGTTAGAAATACTATGATTTGGTTTGGTTTGGTTTGGTTTGACTTGGTTTGGTTTGGTTCGGTTCGGTTCGGTTTGCAGCTCTTCTTCCTAGCTGCTCAGAAGATGACACTTTTATAAAATGGATAAGAGTCTTATGCAGATTTCTTTTGCAGTAGGGATTTTTTTCATACTTGGAAGCTTATTTTTTTAAAAATCTTTTTATTAATAGAAATGATGCATACACAGGGTTAGATTTCCTCCTTATCCCTCACTGTCTTTGAACAAATCATATATAAATAAAGCTGAATTTTCTTTACATTACCTTCAATAAATGGATTTAAGTCACCACACAAATCTCCTAATTCACCTCTTTGGTTCTAGTAGCTTCAGGACAAATCCAGTAGATTTCACTTTAAGCCTCCAAATGTCTCCACTGATAATCTAAGAAAGGTTCTGGTTATCCAATCCTTTACATTCCTCAGGTCTGCAGTTGCTATGGTTTCAAAGATTTCACTGAAATCAAAACACTTTAATGGATGTCAGTACAAGTAATTATCTTTGATAAATGATTTCTCTAATCTCTACACGGCCTGACAGAGAATGCCCCATGTGCTGACCAAGCAAGAATTTTCCTGCATTTATTCCTTTCTTCCTAACTCCAGAAACTCTCTGGGGCAAAGATGAAGAATTGATGTTGAAACAAAAAAATCTAATGCCTACGTCTAATACGAATATCACATTTTCCTGGGATTTCTTGCATCCCCAGCCGCGGTCTTGAGCTGCAGCTCTGCAGGACACCAGCCATTGCCACCGCACACAGGTCACCGAAGCAGCCGTGGAGGAAGGTGCCGCTTCCCCCACAGCCGAAGCTGCTGTGATTCTTGTGAGCATAATTTTTAAGACTGAATGGCAAAATGCGGCTCCCCTGATGGCCAATATCAAACAATGCTTCATGCTTGCGATTATGCCATCAGGCAATGATGAGGAATACGCGTTTCAGGGAAAATAAAGTAGAACAGTAAAAAATCCCCAGCTGCTCCTGACTTACCCAGCAGGTGGATACCTGGCACTTTACCTGAGGCTCGTTCAGGTCCAGCGTAACCCAGCACAGCCCACCCCAAAGTCCTTCTGAAAAGGGGTGCTGCAGCCCCGGAACATGAACAAAAGGCAGGAGGGAAGCCTCACCTCCAGCCACTGGGAGATCTCCACCAGTGCGAGCAGGGGGAGCCTTGATCCTACACCCAGGAATAAGATACGGGATCAGTGACGTGTCTTCTTTTCGCCAGTACAGGGAGGTGTTTTAAGAAATAAAGTACCTTTGCCTATGGAAAGTAACATTTGCATTATTAAATGTGTCATCATGGGGTTTTTGCCCAGCTTAATGGATTTCTTATGACTTCTAGTGACCCATTCTATCCAGACTTCTCTTCAGATCTATTCCTTCCTTTCTGTGTAAATTGGCCTAAATTAGGAATTAGTGCTCTGAATTTACACTTATGTAAGCCTTAAGAGAGAAAAGAATCTGTCCGTGTAATTTTGTTTAAAGGACATCACTGTGTTTATATTCAGATATCATCTTTTCCACTTCATCACTGAGATTCAGTGCACATACTTAATAAAGCTGTTATACTTGATCTATAACTAATTACAGAAATTGGTTTGCTCTGGTATTGATTAGAAGCTGACATTCTCCTTCATGAAGCTATTGGGTTCACCTTCTCAGAGCTAATCTGTGCTTTATAACAATAAATATTAACTGTTGCTAGTGGTTTATCTATAGATAATTTTCTACTTAATCAGGTGATTTGAACTCAAGAGTTTAGCTATGAACTAAAATCTGTAAAATTTTCACCAGCTTTAAGACACTACTAAACAATTACCTTATTTGGTTTTCCCCAGTCACAACATTCTCCTGTATGAGGACGGCCATGCAGTTGTCGCTGATTTTGGAGGTAAGGAGTTTTTATGAAACATTTATAAATTAACCTCAAATTCTCTAAAACTAAATATATGCTGACTAAGAAACTCAGTATGTGCTGAGGAGTTTGCTCTTCCTTTTGTTATCGTGAGAGGACACAAAAGGATTTTAGGATGGCAACACCCTTACTTTTTGTCTGACCTAAGCTGGCAGGGGCTGTGGGATACCCTGCAGTTCCTCTGACGGGGAAGCCCAGATGACAGTGAGTGTCAAAACTGGCATCTTGGCTTGCGTGAGCTCTAGCATAGGCTGGAGGAAGAAGCTGAGTGAAAAAGCCGGTAGCAGAAGACGTGCCCTCCTCTTTCCTGGCGAGTGCTCGGGATCTGGGGATGGTGTGATTGTGCAAGTCTGCAAACCCTGCGGCAGCAGGACATGTTTCTTTCCTTTTAGTTAAGAGTGGAGTGTAGCTTATCATTTCAGCTATGGACCTTGGTAACTCTGTGTTCAAAATTAGACTGGGTTATACTCTGCGACTCTGTATTTCATGCACTGCCTGTTGTTCATCCCCTGATGAACACGTTCCTGTTGGAGCAAGGGTGGGGTTCCAGGACCTGACTCCTCAGGAAATCCTGGACTTGAGACACGGCCGCTGTTGCGGTGCAGTGTCACCGCGGATGTGCTGAGCAGAGACTCACGAACGTCGGCTTAGCCCAAGAGGGTAGTGGCAACACAACCGCATCTGTGAGGGACTCTGTGCTGACCCAGACCTGGGACTGAAATTGCAGGGCTCAACAACTGTTTGTTGTAAATGTGATGTCAGAAGTCTCATTGTCTGTACACAACCTCACTGAAGGCCAGCTGTCACTACCTGGCCTCTCAAAACCCCAGAGTTATGGTTTTTTAAAAAACACACTTTTTTACTCAGACTTTGGTATAATGAGGTGGGTATCTGTATTGGCTTGACAGTAATTTCTTGTTGTTGTCGTTGTTTTGTGTGTTTCAGAATCTAGATTTTTGCAATCCCTGGATGAAGACAACATGACAAAACAACCTGGGGTTTGTTTCTTGTTTTGTTCTATAATTAGCATAAAGCATACAGGTAAACTCAGTTCAGGAGAAAATGACACTAGAAATACTGTTGTTGGAAAAGATGAACTGGTATGGTATGTCATCTCTCTTAAAGTTTCTTTGTCTAGTTTTTCTTTTTTATTTTTTCCTTTAAGCCTCTTTAAGAGCAGAAATGAGTGAGTATGTAATATCTGCAACACAAAGTAGTGCTTTATAAGGTTCTCTCTGAAACTCTGTTTTCCCCAAAATCCTTTATAAAGTGTCATTTTTTTAATCCGCCTTTCCCCACTCACATACATACGTTGCTGGCAGGTGGTTCCTATTTCTAATAGGGAATTAGTTATTCAATGCTGATTTTCTCTCAGCGTTCTTTTCTCCATTACAAGCCTTTTGCTGACAAGGTCTGCTTTACAAGAGAGTATTGTTGTCATCGTAAGTTTTAGTCCAGATGTATTCTGCGTGTCATTCTGTGGTCATGAAAGTTTGCATCATCACAATGACTCATTGTGGCTGGAGCAGAGTGGGTGATGCTACAGCCAGGGGCTGGCAATCTTCTTTTTAACACATCATAGCTACGTGTGAGGAGTGAGTGCTGCTGCAGGCCTGGGTCCTGCGTGGTCGGTGGGTGAGGTGCAAGGAGCCTGCACAAACGCCCTGAGCTCATCACTCCAGTGAGGGGCTGGTTGCTGAGGCAGCAGCCTCTGAGTGGGGCTCCTGCAGAAAGCCCTGACGTCCCACAAGAGAAGGCACCAAGCCCACACAGCTGCCCTCAGGTTTTCCACCCGCCAGCTGCAGTGGTAGTTAATTGGTGTTATTTGGCAGTATTAATTGGTGTTATGTGGCATGCTCGGGTCTCATGCTGGGGTCTCCAGGCTTTGTGGTTAGGTCTTCTGCTTTTGTTCTAGTGCTTCTCTCTCATTTGAAGCCTGATCAGGCTGGCTTTATGGGGCTGGGACAGCTGCTACGCGGATGCTGTTACGTGTAATCTGCAATCATGTGCTGCCTAGGCTGTGTAAGCTACGTGATTTTTTTTTTTCTTTTGGTGGCAAATTTACCAGTTATTTTATGGAGCAATGGAGGCGAGGAAATAAGAAAAGGAAAACAAACCTACAAATATGGCAAAAGATGCATATATGAGGAAGTTAACGCTGTTAAGGTGTTTCTTCTGTTTCCTGCTGTGCAGAACCTTCGCTGGATGGCCCCCGAGGTGTTCACCCAGTGCACAAGGTACACCATCAAAGCTGACGTTTTCAGCTACGCCTTGTGCCTCTGGGAGCTGTTAACAGGAGAAATTCCATTTGCTCACCTGAAACCAGGTAAGATGCTCAATGAATTAATACTTAAATTATTTATAAAATATTTAACTAGAGAAGTAGCTATGCTGCGTAATATTAACCAGTGTTTTACTAAAGTTTGCCATTAAGTGCTAAGTTTACTCATTTAGTGAACAATATAGAACCATCCCACTCACTACAGATCTACATAACTTAAATTTCCTCATCTGGTTTTAGGACAATGAATAAGTCACTCTAAGCCTTTTGTCCTTCACGGTGTTGGGACTGTTGCAGTCATTCCTTGGTTTATCTCCTCCTTGAGGCAGTGCTGGGGTGGCAACAGCAAATCAGCATTTCCAGGATGAGGCTTTGCACTCCCAGAGATTTTGAGTCCCTGATGTCTGCTGGAAGTGCTTAGAGGCTGGGGCTGCTAGGAGCCTGATGGGGTAACAGGAGAGGTTTTGGACCCCCTATGCCATCAACACTCCCGGTGCAGCCCATCCAGGGGTCGGGGATGGGGTCTGTGTCCAGGCTGGGGTGCAACTCCCCCCACACAGGAAACAGCCTGGAGGAGTCTCACTGGGACATTTCAGCCCAGCGGCTGAATCAGCTGTGGAACATGTAGCACCTTGTGTTGTGTTTTAACTGGGTTTGGGGTACAAGGAGAACAGTCACTGCGAGAAGAGATATGCAAAGTTTGTCGGATGGGTTTTAGATAGATTTTCTGATGTTTGGAGAGAGCATGGCCTATGGCAGCATTTTCACCCTCAGAAAGGTCAATTTGTCTTCGTTCTCACAAATGTTTATGCCCAAGCAGAATATAAATATCAATAACAATGTTTTGTCCTTTGGGGCTCATACATCTATCTGTCTGTCTGTAGCTGTATGCCTAATTCTAACATGCCTATCAATTTGCTCTTTCTTTATTAGGTCAATTGCTTTATGAATTACTCAAATACTAAATGAAATCTGTTGTTTTTCTCATTAGGACATTGCTCTTTTCAATTCTTTTTTGATACATGCAAAGTTTACTTCCTCGGTTTTTTGGGTTTTGTTTCTGTTGGGGAGAATCATTAAATAAGTATTCACTTCTGTGCTATTTTGAGGCTATATCTCCATTAAACTTCTTTGGATGGCTTTGTGATGCGCAGGTCAGCCTCTCGCAGGCAAAAGGCACCTGTCATCAACACCACTGGCAATCCGCGTGCTGGCTCTGTAGCTGACCTTCCACACGGTGTTAGCTGGTTTTCATATCTCTATTTCTAACCGCTGAAGTGATGCAGAAGCCAATCATCTGACTCAATTCCACTTCAGGTTCCAGAAATAAAGGACCTTTTGCTGTGAACCTGAGTGTCAGTCCTGAATTGCTGTTGGGTTCATGTTCCATTTCCAGGGGTCCTTGTTTCATGGACCTTGTTTCACTTAAAGTGAAATTCAAACTGCACAGCCCTGGGCACAGGTTTAGAACACCATCACCCACATTGCCAAAGCCTTCCAGGAGGCTACCCTTCCCAACGTTAATCTCTGTTAACTCCAAATTTGCCATTTCGCTCTGTTCAAATTACGGTCTAGGTAGGATTAAAAGACTTGGCTTACACTTACTCTGACACAGAGGAAAGGCAGGACCTGACCAACCCACAAAAAAGGAAATATTCAGCGGTTCAAAGGCATCACATAGTAGAGCTAGAAAGCGTTGCCAAGTTCTGAGTTTTGGGAACCACTTGAAATCTTCTTTGGTTTGTTTTTTTTGGAGAAGGATGGATTCTTGTAGTTTAATTCAGCCATTCTGAAGTACTTTTTAACAGATGTTTTAGCTGAACAAAAAGCCCCCTGACAGTGAAAGGAGACCTTAGACAACAGCAGCACAAATGAGCTTCGTAAAGTGGTATAGAAGCATACAGAGGCACATTGTGTGTTTCTCCCTTTCTTTTTTTAATCCTGACCCCATTAAATTGATAGAGCAAATCCTATTAACCTTAGTAAGATGAGATTTTGTCAACAGGTAATATGTCCGTTAGCTTTGGCAGAAGAAAATGGAGCATTTTTCCATACTATCTTACTCTGATTTGTGTTTGCCCTGATGTCTGCTGGGCAGAAGATGACTCTGGCAGTGTCCAAGTCCTGCCATCAAACCTTTTTAGAGTGGGGTCAAAGTCTGGCAAAGCATGTTTACCCCTCCTGTCTGCCTACAGTCACAATAGCACAGGATTTATCTGAAATCAACCTTCTGAAACATCATTATGCACAAAAAAGCTGCAATGAGGGCAGACAATGGCTGAAATTAATCTATTCTTATGATGAATATTGTGATGAGAATGGGATACGAATAAAGAAAATTAGACCGTTCTTTTCACAATCTCATGGTTGTAATCCCACAGTTCCCTGCATGTCCAGCATGTTCGGATCATGTCACTTTAAGGTATTGGGCAAACAAAGCATTTCACTTAGCTTTTAGTGTGAGTTCAAAACTACATTTGTTTTGACTTGAAAAAAAATTGCTCAAAAGTAATGAGAGGAGCTAACCATGTATTTGGATTCACTAAATGTGTAAACCCAATTAAGAAAACAGTTTAGCAATTTCATCTCTGTCAGTCATGACTTGATCTCATAAAAAGTCACGCACTAAATGTTTATTATAGAAACACTTAGAGATAATCTTTGTCTTGGACTGCAACAGAACTAACTATGGGTTATTTTAAGAGATCTGAGCCTGTTACCGATTTATCTGTGACTGGAGTATACCTGTTGATAATGAAGAGGATAACTTTTTTAAAGAAATTAGTTGAAAGTTAACACACTTTTTCCCCCAAAATGGGTTTGGTTTTTCTTTTAGGGCTTTGAGCTAAATGAGGCTGTCTTCAGCTATGCTCGGTCTTAACACCACTGAGTTTCCAGTCGGGGCTCTGGGCTGCCATAGCCCATGTGCCAACAGCCTCTTGATCTCCGAGCCTCCGCCATCAGGCCGATGGTGTCCGGTGCCCGCAGGCTGTGTCTCAGCAGAGCGCAGGCCGGGTTTTGGGGGGCATGGGCCAT